CTCCATGTACGCAGAAACCTAGAAGTCTCACTAAATTTCCATGTTGTAGCCTGGCAAGCACCTCTACTTCATTCTTAAATTCTTCTACACCAGGTCCAGATCTTCGAGAGAGTCTCTTCACAGCAATTTCTAATCCATTTGCAAGCGTCCCCTGAATTTCAAACATTAAGTCCACATACATATACGGAGTGGCCAAATTTCCTTCATGTTAAAAACCAAGAAAGCACACAAACTTGGTACCTTGTAAACCCCTCCAAACAGGCCTTGACCAATCTTGTTAACTACAGAGAACTTGTTCGTGGCTGCTTCAATTGCACTGAAATCATATTGCAGTGAATCCACATTGCCGATGTCAAATGCAGCTACACAACCAAATGTTGCGTGTGAATGATGAGATAAAGTGAAAATAGAAGAGCGAGCAAATATGAACCAAAAAAAAGCAAAAGGTCTCGTATGCTGATACTATGGACATCCTTACATTTTCCTTCGGCAACAGAGTCGTACTTCTTCGCTGTTCGTTTCCTCAAGCAACAGATGCCGACTATAAATACTAGGACAGCCACAGTAGTTGGAACCACAATAGCAACAATCGCCCCCGATGAGATTCCACCTTTTCCTGAATCATCCCAAGAACAGAGAAAGGCAGGTATATTTAATATGGCAAATTCACGATAAATTCATGACAATAATTGAGCAACCAAATTTACTTCATTCATGTTCCTCAGTCAAGCTTTTCTCGTATTTCTTTTATTCCACTTAGCTCTTTCTCCACAATTTTGAACCCTCCCCTGCTTTTATTTCACTCTCTGTTCAGTGGGTTTTCCCCCACGGTTTTGCTTTTAAACTCTCAATTTTCGCAAACTAATACCCAAATCACCAAACAGATTAGAAACTATAAAGATTCAAGGAAATACCATCTGCATATAGGTGAGAGCTTTACCTTGGGAACCAGTATTTGCAGGAGGAACACTCGCAGCTTCCGATTGATAGAAAGGGTACGACTCATAGCGAACATTACAGCTCGGGTACAGCACTCTTCCTCCTTGCTTCCCACCACAACACCACTTAAGTTCCCCAATCACACCACTCAGGCAACTTCTGCAATCTGACGGCGAAAGGTCCGGCGTGCACTGTGCTAGACAATACATAGTTTGAAACCCTGAGAAATTCGCTGTTCCGGTCGCATACTTCTTTTTCCCAACAGGAGGTCTAGCCGCCTCATCTGCCGTCTTGTTCATTATATCGTACAATTTTCTCATGAAGCTTGCCTGGTTTGAGACACTTCCGGCGTCGAAGAGGCTGAGTCTAGGCCTCGTGTCGACGGTGGAGAAGAAGAAACGGTTAGAATAGCGAAGCAAGCACTCGTCGTACCAGATTATTGCCTCCTTCGAAACTCGGCACTCGGAAGATAATCGTTGGGTAGCGTTAACGACGCACTGGTGGCACATCGAGAGGTTGACGTCACCCCGACACATGAAGAGGCCGTGGACGGCGTCGCCGCCACCGACAACGGTGGCGTTGTAGAAGTCGGTGTTGGCGAAAGCTAAGGAAGAGAAGAGTGTCGTTCGGTCCGATTGAAAAGCACTGTTGGCAGCGAAGGTTATGTTGGAAGAGCAATTGTGGTGAAGATAAGTAACCTGTGCTTCATTTGCAGGAGAAAAGAGGACGCTAATAAGCAAGAAAGAGACAATTTTGAGAGAAGCAATGACCATGGACGAAGTTTGTGCGGTTCTTACGGTGTGTATCTCAATGGCTAAAAGGGGAGAATCATGAGGAAGACGATATTGCAGGGGCAGGGAGAGATGCAATCGGTGATGGAGAAGGTCGACGCAGGTCAACTAAATTTGGTTGGGAGCGGGGGAAAAAAAAGAAAAGGGAAGAAGAAGAAGGAGGAGGAGGAGAAAGAATTAACGATCAAAAGTTGAGCGATTTAGTAAGAAGTCAGCTTATAACTCATAACATTGTGAGTTTAAATCTTAATGTTGATGTAAGGATTTTATTGATGGACGATCTGTAAGTATCTCTTTAAATGTTTTTTGAGTATAGAAGCATGTCTTAGTCTTAATAAATTCCCAAAACCCAACTCATCTAAATTTTTATTAAAAAAAAAAAGAATTACAATAATTCTTTTAAAAATTCACTTTTTTACATCATATACCACTTCCGTTTTTATTATAAAAATTTGTTTAATTTTTAATTTGATTTTAAATATAAGATCTCAATTTATTTTATTTTTTATATTGATTTATTTTTTTAAAGTAGTTCTTGAAATAATTACACGTATAAAATGTTTCATAAAATGGTAATTCTAGCTACTATACATGATTAGTGAGGGTGTTTTAGAAAAAATAACACCTATTTATAACAAATAACTAATTAAAGAGAATATCTATTTATGACAAATAACTAATTTGACTAATTTCCTTAATCTTTTTAAATTAGTCAACTAGGTCTTATAATAAAGATTGGAGGTAGTAACTCATTTACAAAAAATAAGTAATTAGTTAAAAATAATAAATAGATTAGAAATATATTTTTGTTTTTAAATATGTTTTTATAATAAATAATAAATACTAAAAAAATTTGATAAGAGAGAGTATGACAAATAAGAGTGAATAAACAATAAAAAAATAAAATTGGAAAAAATGCATTAATATTAAGACAAATTTAAATTGAAACTTATAAAATGGACCATACCTTTTTTAAATTTAAAACTTATATATAAGACAGAAGGGAGTATATTTCATTAATAGTGTCTCTTTTATAATTTAAAATTTTTAAATCTATCTCCAATCATATAAATTAGAGATTTAATATGATGAGAAGTAAATAAATAAATAATATTTGCTTCAATATTTTACAATTAAGAAAATAGAATTTTGAAATCATTTTAGAATAATTTTAATAGTGTCAAAATTTAAAGTAAAATGCATACATTCAAAATAGGGAAAATATAAATAAGACAAAATAAAAGGTTAGTTTTTTCTTCTCATTATTTTTAGGGAAAATCACTAACAGGTCCCACAGAAAGCAATTTATTACTCTGAGGTCCCACGAAATGTCAAAATCACTGACAGGTCCCAAGGGACCTCAGAGTAATATTTTCATTTTGTAAAATGACATTACTGCCCCTCATATTCCAGATTCATATTTGCTCTGTCATTACGATTTACAACCTCAGCAGCGACTATTAACAACATAATGAGAGGGCGTTAACAACCCTAGCAGTATCTGTTAACAACTTACTTTATAGAATTATATAACCTCTACATAAGAGTAAATTATAACCAAATAATATAATACAACAACTTTAACACTAAAATGGGAAGCTTTTTGATATCATTAAGAATTTTAACCAAATCCAATAGGATTATAGCAACATTTTAATGCGAAAATCCATTTACAACCTCAACAGCGATTATTAACAACCGAATGAGAAGGCATTAACAACCTAAGCAGTAGCCGTTAACAACTTACTTTATAGAATATATAACCTCCGCACAAGAGTAAATTATAACCAAATAGTATAATACAACAACTTTAACACTAAAATGGAAAGCTTTTTGATATCATTAAGAATTTTAACTAAATCCAATAGGATTATAGTAATATTTTAATGCGAAGATCCATTTACAACCTCAATGGTGAGTATTAATAACCCAAAGAGAGCTGTTGACAATCTAGGCAGTATCTATTAACAATTGACTTTATAGGATAATATAACCTCTAACAACTATATAAGATTAACTTTAAGACTATTTAGTTATAGTTTAGTTAGTTATAGTTAGAAGTTATATTATTCGATAAAGTTAGTTGTTAACAGACACTGCTAAGGTTGTTAACAATTCTCCTTAGGTTATTAATACTTACTGGGTGGATAATGATGTTCGTCTCTCTCAAATGGCGAGAACAACACGGAATTAAGGCCCCGAAACGGAGGACGGGGACAGGTGGGCGTCCTTTTTACGATGAGTGCAATAACAGAAGCAAATCGATTTTCGACTTCTCTGCTCCTTCTCATTTGCAGACCGGTGCCAGAGAAGGGCACAACACGGACACTCGCAAATTTTCATTGCTTTTCTTCTTCAAATTATCAATAACTTTTTTTTTTATACCATTATAAAATATTTTTGTAACACTCGGAAAATCAAGTTGGAAGTACAAACATTAAGAACAACTTCAAAAGGAAAAAAAAAAAAATCAATGGCAAACTTTTATATTTAAAGCTTTTATCCAGCAAGAGCGCCTACATGACAGGGAAAAAAAAAAAAAACTATTTCTTAGAACCGGAGGTAATATTTCTCTAATTCTTAATATAAAATCTAATTAACTAATTTAAGTAGATTAAAAATATTAATTAAATTATTTAATATGATATTTTTTTTAAACGTCCTAAATATTTTTTTAACTTTTTTTTTCTCTTACTTGATTATTGTTAATGGGATATCAATAAAATTAATCTAAAAAAATTGATAATTATATAAAATAGGTTTTATATTTACAACCAATATTAATTCTCCAATTAGGTCCTACACTAAGGAGTGGATGAGTATTATTTATATCAATCTTTAAATGTTATTTTTCTTGAGCAGGACACAGAACTGTGGAGTCGTGAGTCACCATCACCCGTGAGGTTCCTTGCTAGCCGTGAATTTGGATGGCTCCAATTGTCCCCATCGCAGGATGATCCCCCTCTGTTGCACGATACATGGTGGAAAGTTCGTCTCCTTCTTCTTCTGCGCCCTGGATGGATCATGATGCTTTCATTTGTAATCTCTATTAAATCTTTCCTGAATGAAGCGAATAAACTAGGGGCATAGTGCTTCACATTGTTGGTTGTTTATTGTTGCTCATCTGTTGCAGAAATCCTTCTAAACGCATAGAAAAGCCGTTTTGCTGCTGCTGCTAGCAAAACGACAAACTCAAACTTTTCCTTCTAGACGTTTGTGTTTGTGATGTTAATCAGTAAATGAGAACTTAAAACCAGAGACCAGATATACGTTGGACGGCATGTCACTATACTTCCTAACTTCCGAGTCTGCTACAACGCAAAATTGACACTTTGCAAGGCAAATAATTATTGGTGGATTCAACCCAAAATATTACAAAAGGAACATAAGAAGTCATCTAGAGACCTCATGGCTATATATAAATACAACGTTGCCTGAATCACCTGTAATTCACACTAAAAAAGAAGCAACGTTGCCTCAATAGACCAACCACTTAGACAGAGGCACGTTTGCCAAAACCTCCAACTTTTAAGCTTACCGAGGTATCACTTCACTAACAGACATCTCATTCACCGACATTGGCGCTGACTTGGTCGTAGATTGACCAAATAGCAACTTTGGCATGTTTGGATCAGTTCCGCTATGGACGAAAAATGCAGGCTTTGAAGGGGTTGGCAGAGTCACAGAGTAACTATCAAGCATCAGAACTATGGATGACATTGAAGGTCTCTCAGCTGGATCTTCTTGAACACACAGCAGACCAATGTGGATGCATCTCATAACTTCATTTGGAGTGTAAGATTCTCTTATTGTGGGGTCCAACAGTTGCAAGGGTTCTCCATCCTTCCAAAGTTTCCAGGCCTGTATCAAATGTTGTCAGCTATTTGTTATAATGGGATCACAGTATTTGTCCTTTTGAAAGAAAACAAATGATTCGTTTGAATCAAACTAGAGAGGGTAGCGTTTGATATACTCACATAGCTAAGCAGGTCCTCAGCACCCTCTATTTGATAGAAAGAACTATTCTTCTTCCCACTTATAATCTCCATTAGAAGGACACCGAAGCTGTACACATCAGACTTAACAGAAAACTCTCCATGCATGGCGTATTCCGGAGACATATATCCACTAAAACATTGAATCATCAGAAGATAATTGTCAGTGCAGGGAAAATTACGCAGAAATCTGGACTGTTGGCATTTCTTTCTGTTAAAGAGAAGATGCCAGGATATCTGGATAATATTGTTAGGACTCAAAACCAGTAATATGCCCTGGTAAAAAAAAAAAAAACAGTAATATGCCAAATAGATTTTGCAAGGATATGTAAATTTGTTCTTACTATGTTCCTACAATGCGACTAGTATTTCCTTGAGTTTGGTCCACCATAAAAATCCTTGCCATACCAAAATCTGAGATTTTCGGATTCATGTCACTATCCAATAATACATTGCTAGCCTTAAGATCTCGATGTATAATTTTAAGCCTTGAATCTTCATGAAGATACTTAATGCCTCGAGCAATTCCTTTGACAATCTTGTACCGCTTTGTCCAATCTAGCTGTCTTTGCTTTTCAGGTTCTACATATTAAAAAAAAAAAAAAACAAATTGTCAAATAAAAGGAAAGTAAACTACTCAAGCGAAAAGAAGTGAATCAAAGCTTCCTCCATTTTAGTCTCAAACACGAGGGACCTACCAAAAAGAATGTAATCAAGACTTTTGTTGGGAACATATTCATAAACAAGAATCTTCTCTTGTCCTTGCACACAAAATCCCAGAAGCCTCACCAAATTTCTGTGCTGTAACTTGGCAACCACCTCTACTTCATTCTTAAATTCTTGTACACCTTGTCCAGATTCCCGGGAGAGCTTCTTCACAGCAATTTCTAGTCCATTTGCAAGCGTCCCCTGAATTTCAAACATAAAGTTCACATGCATATATGGAGTGGCCTAATTTCCTTCACGTTAACAACCAAGAAAGCACACAAACTTGATACCTTGTAAACCTTTCCAAATCCGCCTTCACCAAGCTTGTTATCTGCAGAAAACTTGTTCGTAGCTGCTTCAATTGTACTGAAATCATATTGCAGTGAATCCAAATTGCTGATTTCACTTGTAGCTGGACAACCAAATGGTGCATTCGTATGATGAGATAAAGTGAAAAACAGAAGAGCAAGCAAATATGAGCCAAACAAGGCAAAAGGTCTGATATTTCCAATTTACTCTGGGAGTCCTTACATTTTACTTCAGGAACGGAGTCATGCTTCTTCCTCATTCTTTTACCCAAGCAACACATGCCAACTATAAATATCAGAACAGCCACTGAAATTGGAACCACGATCGCAACAATCGTCCCCGATGAGATCCCACTTTTTCCTGCATCATCCCGAAAACACAAAAAGTAAATATATGTAATAAGGTTAATTCATGATGACAATAACAAAGATACCAACTTCACTCCATTAAAATTCCACAGTCAAGTCTGCTCAGATTACATATTCGATTATTTTGTTCTTTTAGTCTCCTTAGATGAGATGTTTGTCGACAATGTTGAAAAATCCCCTTTTTTCCTTTCGTTCTCTGTTCTGCTTAGCTGTTTACCCACAATTTCAAACTCTCAATTTTCGCAATCCAATGCCCAAATCAGCAAACAGATGATAAACTATAAAGACCGTACAAAATACCTCAAGCATATAGGTGAGAGCTTTACCTTGGGAACCTGTAGTATTTGTCGGAGGCACAGTTGTCGGCGTAGGAGTTGGTGCCGGAGCCTCCGATTGGTAGAAAGGGTACAATTCGTAGCGAACGTTACAGCTAGGGTACAGAACTCTTCCTCCTTGCTTCCCGTCACAACACCAGTCAAGGTCCCCAATCACACCACTCAGGCACCTTCTGCAATCGGACGGCGAAAGGTCCGGCGTGCACTGAGCTAGACAATACACTTTTTGAAACGGCGAAAAATTTGCTATTCCGGTCGCATATTTCTTTTTCCCCGCAGCAGGTTTAGCCGCCTCATCTGCAGTCTTGTTCATAGTATCGTACAATGTTCTCATGAAGTTTGTCGGGTCTGAGACATTTCCGGTGTTCAAGAGGCCAAGCCTTGGCCTTGTGGAGACGGTGGAGAAGAAGGAACGGTTAGAATAGCGAAGCAAGCACTCGTCGTACCAGACTATGGCCTCCTTGGAAGCTCTGCACTCGGAAGATAATAGTTGGGTTGCGTTAACGACGCACTGGTGGCACGTCGAGACGTTGACGTCACCCCGGCACATGAAGAGGCCATAGACGGTGTCGCCACCACCGACAACGGTGGCGTTGGAGAAGCCGGTGTCGGTGTTGTTGCTGGAAGCCAAGGAAGAGAAGAGTCTTTTGCGGTCCGATTGAAAAACGCTATTGGCTGCGAAGGTACTGTTGGAAGAGCAATTTTGGTAGAGATAAGTAACCTGAGCTTGGGTTGTGGGAGAATGGAGAAAGGCAACGAAGAAGAAGAGTAAGAAAATTTTGGGGGAAGCCTTGACCATGGACGTCATGGTAAGGTTGAAGGATGTGTTAGCGCTGTTGGAGATGAGTCGTGAGCTTTATAGTTGGAGGAGTTCTTATAGAGCGTATTTCAATGGCGAGTAGGGGAGAATCGTTCATGGGAAAAGACGAACATATTGCAGCTGCAGAGACTCAGACGATTGATGAGGGAGAGGGTTGACGCAAGTCAATGAGATTTGTCTGCAGAAGACTTTTCAATTTGTTGCGGGATGGTGATGGCTATTGGCTAATGAATTGGGGAAGCCCAATCAAGTCCAGATTTCCGGGTAGAAAGGCAAGAACCAGAAGTCAATTCTAAGCTAGGCCGCACACCGGCACATGTGAACACCCTTTTCTTCTTCCTATCCAAAAAAAAAAAAAAAGTTAAAATTATTAAATGTTCAAACTTTTATAAAATTGTTTTTAATCAGATTAAATTATGTTTTTTAAAATAAATTGTAAATAATGTATTAGATTTCATGGAAAAATAGCACATTAAAAATAAATTAGATAAATGAGCTGACTAGAAGCAGTATGAATATGGTTTGGATGAAGGGATGTCTTCTTCAAGTTTCAACAGAAGAAAAGCACGAATGTTTGACTTCGAAACCCGGATGGCGGGACAGATGAGGCACAGAAACCGCGTGCGTTGGTTGTGGAAAGTAGAGGCCCTCCCCCGAAGACCGTCCAAAGTCGTCTCAGGAAGGGAATCGCTATTCATAAGAGACTGTTTTAACATTTTATGGTGATGTTTATTGTCACAATTGAAATTATTTGTAAATATATTTTATATAAATTGAGGCAAAATTTTTTCATATATTTATCTTATATTTTATAGATCATGATTAAAAAGCTACCTATAAATTATTCCAAATGGTCCTATATCTCTACACTGCACATCATCAAATCAAACATTGAGTTATGCTTCTTCGGTTTTTAATATAAGACATATTTAACTAATTTGATTAGATTAAGAAAGTTAGGTAAGTTAATTAATTATAATAAATATGAAATGTTATTCTTAAAATACTATAATCATCTTTCTTAATATTCTCTGTTCATATTCTTCTTGATTATGACTGAGAAAATCTCAATAGGAGTAATTTAAAAAAAATTGATAAATATAATAAACATATCTTATATTTAGGATCAATATCAATTCAACAATTAAATTTTATATTAAGGATTAGAGGAATATATAATATTTCAAAAAATTACGTCAACTTCCTATCATTACAATATTTAATTTGAAATTTTGAATTTAAGAACGGTTACTTAAATATAACATTGAAAAACGATATCCGTTTAGATGACTAATAATATTAATATGTCTAGTTAGCTGTCATAACCCGTAACTTTCTTTTCATATAATGTATTAATTAATCAATATATTTAATTATTTACTTTTAAATTAATTTGTTAAAATTCTTAATTATTTTTTTAGATCAAAATTGATATTAGTTTTGTGAAAGAATATATCAAATTTTCATGAAATACTACAACAAAATTAATTAATTAATTAAAACTAGAATATCTTTTTTCCCAGTGGAGTAAGTTGAAAAACATGAAAGACAAAAAAAAAAAAAAAAAAAAGGCAAGAGACTGGTTGGGGCTTACGTGGAGCTCCATCATGTGAAGATAAGAAAATGAGTAATGAATGTAGCCTCTCATCCAATTAGCTGCACCGAGATATTTCCTCGCTTTTGGGTTTTGGTAGGGACTAGTTCAGCAGGGAAGGTCACGTTTCACAAGTCACTATACAAAGCATGTGGGCCAAGAATGCTGGGATCCCATGTAGTATCTCGTTTTGTGATTATTTCCCAGTGGATTATGCAGTAGTTCTTGTTCTGGTTGGTTCACTCTCCGTAAAAAGTGAACAGAGAGCCACCACACGGTCCCACGTTTGAAAGTTGGTTCAGTTGCTCATTGCTGCCTAACTTCGTTTCACTCCTCGCACCTGACTTAAAAAGATCATGTTATTTAAATCCTTTAAGTCAATCATGATGGTACAAGTAAATTTACCATACACCCTTGCATTTCTATTGTCTCTCTTTTTCATGTCCCACCGGCCGTATACTTGTATTAGAATAGGACATGATTCTCAAACAACATCTTTAACAAACACAAACTAAAAAATAATTTTTTTTAGTGTCAGAACTGTGCCGCTAACACACCAAGTGCAGGACCCTTGTCCAGAGGGACATCCCCAGAATGCCTAATTTCAAGTCCTCTGTTTTCGTCTTCCTCTTTAGCTTCCTCTTCTTCTTTCTCAGTGAAGCAGCTCCGATTTACAGCTCTCATGCCTGCACAGATTCCGTCAAATACCGGCCAAATTCCACATTTCAGATCAACCTCAACCTCCTCCTCTCCTATCTCTCATCCAACGCCACCCAAGGCAGCCATTTCTTCCGAACACGACTAGGCGACGGTACTGCCAACGTCATCAACGGCCTCTTCCTCTGCCGCGGGGACACCCTTGCCGCAACCTGCGGTGATTGCGTTTCCACCGCAGCTGGAGAGATAAAACGCCGTTGCCCAGTTCAGAAAGAGGCCATAATCTGGTACGACGTTTGCATGCTTCGATACTCCCACGAATCTCTCAACAACATCGTACCTTCCACTGACCTGTCTAATACGAAGAACGTAGCTCCGGAGGATAAGGAGAGGTTCAATGAGTTGCTGGCCGGTATGCTAAATTCTCTGGCGGATAAAGCTGTGATTTCTCAGAAGGAGAAATTTGAGACGAAGGAAGTGAACTTCACAAGAACAGAGAAGTTGTTCGGATTAGTACAGTGCACGCCGGATCTGACGGCGTTTGACTGCAATATGTGTTTGAGAAGCGCCATCGCCTCTGTTCCGAACTGCTGTGACGGAAAAAGGGGAGCGACGGTGTTGCTTCCTGGCTGCAACATCAGATATGAATTCTTTCCATTTTTCAATACCACCCCATCATCGAATCCTCCCGCCGTTCAATCTCGTCCTTCAGGTACTCGAAAGCCCAGATATCCCAATATCTAACATTAACCGGATTTTTCGTTTTGCTATTCGAGTGTTTGGTTGCTGATGACAAAGTGGTTCTGCATAGTTATTAGCTATCCAAAGTATTAGCATGATTATAATTAGAGGGTTTTGATTCGGCCTTGTATGTTAGCTAACATATGCCAATTTGATTGACTTGTGATTGGACCAATACTGATACAGGAAGGAGCCATGTTTCAGTGATTCTTGGATTCATCATCCCAATTGTTGCTTCGGCAACACTTTTTGCCTTCGGCTTCTGTTCTTTCGCTGGAAAACAAGGAAGATATATGCTAGTGTTGTGTAGGAAAACGGTAAGATAAGATTAGATTCTGAAGTCAATCCTTTGAAAGTTATTATATTTACTATTGCCAAGCTCTGATCCAGGCTTCTGACTTATTTCCCCTGAATCAAAATGCAGAATTTGCCTGAAGTATAATCGTATGGATGAGGGGTGGCATGACTCGGAAGAAAATTTGGGAAGTTAAAAATTAGGACAAAATATTAATGAAAGTTCAGCCCAAGACTGAGCTTTGGAAGAGCCTGGGAAGTGCCACCTGCCGCAGTGAGGTAGGAGGAGAAGTTGCGTCTGATGGAAGGGCAGCAGCCTGAGTTTTAGTTTGAAGTATTTGTTTTGTATATGCATTGACCATTGACCAGTGTATATTTCACTGAAAATTGCTAATTATAAAACATTGTAACAAAATTATAGAGTCCTCGGTAGGAAGGAAATAGAGAGAAAGGGAGGGAACAAAATTTTAATTGAAGAAATAAAATTTAAAACTTCTAATTAATTTTTATTTTTTTATCTTACAATTTCTTTCCATTAAAATTTTAAAATAACATTTTTTATTTTTTAAATTAAACTTATTAAAAAATTCTCTCCTCTCCTTTACATGCGTGATATTTTTAACTTTGCAGTATTTTCTTAAAAATTTTTAAAATGATGCAATATTTTTATATGGTAATAGTTAATGTCGAATAATTTATTTGTGCAGAAGAGCAATTGGTATTTGGTATGGTACTTGGGGGAATTTATCAATAATCAATAAATCAAATCAATAACAAAATATGTGGGGTATCAGCCGGCCGTCGATTTTGACTCATGAAGTCATTTTAAAAAGAAAAAAAAAAGGAGTCATTGTCTTACTGTGCGGGTTATTAACTTATTTCTCCATCATCACGGCTGACGTATGAATGACCCTCTTTGACTATTCTTCTTTTGAATTTTGGATGCCATCCGTCCTGCCATCGGTGGCATGATCCCCGATGTTAACCCCCCGGAAAATAATACTCTCAGGCAACTGGCATGATGGGACTTGGTGGATGGAGAATTTAGATTAGCTTTCTAAAAAATTTTGTCTCTTCACAAAAAAAAAAAAATGACGAGAGAAAAGAAAAGTATTCAATTTTTGAAAAATGAAATTAAGAACTTAATCTTAATGATTAAAAAGTTGTGTTTGAGCAAATTACCTTTAACAGGTTTAGGCGGTATTTGGATGCCACATTCAACCAAACAATTTCAAAGAGTTTTTTTTTCCGTAAAAAAATTAATTACTCGAAAAATTATTTATGTAAATTTTTTTAGAAAACTTGTTTATGAAATCATTTAATTTCACAAACACCAGTAGAAATTACTGTTACTGTTTTGAAAATAAGTGTAACAAATGTATTTTTACCGTTTAGATAAGATATTGTTCTAAGTATATATGAATATGTATAAGAGTTTCCTTCTCATTAAATACTACTCTTTCAGTCCTAAATATAAGACTCTTTTTATAGTGTAAATTTACACTATAAAAAGAGTCTTATATTTAGGACGAGTACTCTCACTCCTAATTATAAATAAATAAATTTTATTTGTAGGTTATTAATAAAATTTTATAATAGGATAAAAAATAACAGTAACTAAGGATCTTCCCAGCGCAGCCTTGATATAGAAAGGTAATCGTCAGAAAGGTGCTTTGTTGACTTGTATCAGAAATGGCGTTCCCCTCAATCCGCCCACAGTTCAACGCAAAGCCTGAAAGATTGAAATCAAATAGGTAACGACATCGATAGAGTTGTTAACTGAATGCCATAAACTTATATGCCTTTGTCCTTTCAGCGGAGTTGGAGCTGAAGAGAATTGTTGTTGAGCAATATGTCCTTCCCCAAATTCTCTGCAACACATTTCATCCTTCTCGCTCTGTTTCCATTTCTGAGTTTCACAAGCGAAGCATCTCCTATATTCAGCCGTAACGCCTGTACAGACGCACTCACATACAAACCCAATAGCCCATTTGAAGCTAATTTGAATGTCCTCCTCTCTGTTCTTACCTCCAACGCGTCCCTCCACGACGGTTTCTACCGTACCAACTTGGATCAGGGAACTCCCGACGTCATCAACGGCCTCTTCCTCTGCCGCGGCGATGCCACCCCCACCCTGTGTCAAGAGTGCGTCTCCGACGCCGCCAAAGAGATAAGGCGCCTGTGTCCAAACCAAACGGAGTCTATCGTCTGGTACGATGTTTGTATGCTTCGTTACTCGAACAACACCTTCAACAACATCGTCCCTTCCACGGACTTATCGAGTAACGGTACTATAGCTAGCGCCGAACAGGATCAGTTCAATAAATTGTTGTCGGATTTGTTGCAAAAATTGGCGGCAGAAGCTCAGGGTTCCCAGACGGGGAAAAAATTTGCCACGGGACAAGTTAACCCAACATCGTCACAAACGTTGTACGGCCTTTTACAGTGTTACCCAGACCTGACATCTTTTGATTGCAACATGTGTCTCCAAAGCGCCATTGGAGCTCTGCCAAATTGCTGTGGCAACAAGAAGGGGGCAACGGTTCTTCTTCCGGCATGTAACATTAGATATGAACTTTACCCATTTTACAGCATAACTACATCTTCTGCAGGGCCAGGTCCTCCTCGATCAGGTAATTTTCTGAATCCTAATGCTGAGAGAAAAGCAAGTGAATGCATATACATTGACTAGCCTCAGGAAATAACCTGGTAATCTTGTTCAGTGATATAGCTACGCAAGAAGAGGGCAAACTTTGTTCATACACGTCAGTTTACAAGAATAAGTTACATAGGTTTAAAATAGATCAAGTTGTTCGTTGGTGCTTTTAATTTCAGCCTTAAAAAAATTTAATTTCACTTTATCTAATCCTATCAGAAATTTGATAAGCAGCCGTATTATGTCTAGATGTGAGCAAAGGGGACAGTGTCCAGAGGTTTATTAAGTTATAGTTCTTTTCTTTATCCTTCTTTTCTTGGGTTGATTATAGGAAAAAGCAAAATCGCAATAATTGTTGCGATTATTGTGCCGATTGTTGTTTCTGTGACACTCTTTGTTGCGGCTTGCTGTTTCCTGCGTAAGAGGGCTAGCAAGGGCAAGAAGTTTAATACTTTCGCAGAGGATGACAGTAATATCTCCTTCCTATCTTAATAATTGTTGTCACTGTGTTACATTTCAATTCTTGTTTCCAATATTGGACAAGATAGTAATTTGGTGGCTCACAGCTTTCTTTCCATCTATTTGAAATACAGTGGGGAATGATCTTACAGACACAGAGTCTCTGCAATTTGAATTGGCGACAATAGAAGCTGCCACAAAAAGGTTCTCAGACGAGAACAAGATTGGCCAAGGTGGATTTGGTGCAGTTTATAAGGTAATTGACTTTCTAATGCTACTTTTTGTTATATCTGTCCGTTAAATTGAGAAAAATTGGTCTAATTTCCAGCATGTGCACAGGGTATCCTCCCAAGCGGACAGGAGATTGCTGTGAAGAGGTTATCAGTAACCTCCTTGCAGGGTGCTTTGGAATTTAAGAATGAAGTTGCTCTTGTAGCCAAGCTTCAACATAGGAATTTAGTGAGGCTGTTGGGTTTTTGCTTGGAGGGGCAAGAGAAGATACTTGTTTATGAATACATCCCAAACAAAAGCCTTGATCACTTTCTATTTGGTTTGAACTTTGACCTTTTCTCAATACTTCTAGCTTTTGACATCCCTATACAAATCAAGTCTTGGATGCGAATATTTCGTTGATGTAAATATTCAAAAGCAGAGTTATTTCTTAGTATTCACATGATGTTACCCTTTTCTACCAAGTAATCCTGTTTTTATTCACTTGATAATTTCACTTTGATGGATTTGTAGACTCTGAAAAGAAAACAATGCTTGATTGGTCAAGGCGTTACAAGATCATAATGGGAATTGCTCGAGGAATTCTTTATCTTCATGAAGATTCTCAGCTTAGAATAATACATCGTGATCTCAAAGCGAGTAATGTTTTATTAGACACCAATATGAATCCAAAAATTTCAGATTTTGGTATGGCAAAAATCTTTCACGGAGATCAAACTCAAGTGAACACAGGAAGAATAGTTGGAACCTTGTAAGTTTTAGACATTTTCTTTGGCAAGAGTTATTCATTATTTTCTCTCGACCTATAGATTAATAATCTTTCTTTGCAGTGGTTATATGTCTCCAGAATATGCAATGCGTGGGCAATTTTCTGTTAAATCAGATGTGTTCAGCTTTGGTATATTAGTTTTGGAGATTGTTACTGGTAAGAAGAACACTGATTTTAATCAATCACGTCAAGCAGATGACCTCTTAAGCTACGTAAGTGAAAACTCAGCAAGTATACCATCTTTTCCTTCAATGTCAGCTGCAAATACGTCTCAAATATGGATTTTGGTTAGTAACAACTGGTAGATTCCAAATTTGGGCTCTGACTCTTTGTGTAACCACAGGCCTGGGATAACTGGACACAAAGAACACCTTTGGAGTTATTGGATCCAACACTGAGAGGTTCTCATTCAAGAAATGAAGTCATAAGATGCATTCATATTGCTTTATTATGTGTTCAGGAGAATCCTTCTGATAGACCTTCAATGGCAACTATAGCACTGATGCTCAACAGTTATTCTGTTACTTTGTCAATGCCTCGACAGCCAGCAGCTTTCATGCGCAGAACACCAAACAGGCAAAAGCAAAACAATGTTGTTGATTCTGACCAATCTACCTGTTCAATCCTATGGTCTACAAATGAAGCATCCATTACTGAAGTTTACCCCCGATAACAGGTTCATGTTCCATCAAGTGGGCGTTTATCTAATTCATTTATGTTTTTGAATGAATCCAGTTGAGTCCATGTATTTAGTTCCAAGTCCTTAACTTCAGGCCTTTTGCAGCTTCATAACAAATAATGGAAGATGTACCAGGACCTTTTGGCACGCAATCTCAATTACTTTCTTCTTCAAGGATGAGGCCAACTGGCTAATTCTGCTGGAGATCACTTCAAGTTCAAGATATCATTCTGATGCAGCAGAGTCTGGAAGCTAAGCCAAGTGCTGCACGCAATGTAATTTACTCAAACGGCTTTCTCTCGAAGAGTTCATAACCTCCGAGTTATATGTGCATGATTTGAAATTTAGAGTTCTGAGAGCTTTTAGAATGCCAGTGTTACTTGATTTACAAATATTCAGGCTTGTTCAAATATTCAGGCATAATAAGGCAAAAATGTTTGTTGTCCCTTCGTTCAAAGAAAATAGAAGAGAAAGTGGAACGTCAAAAGCAATATATCAGTTTAATTTTGCCTGTAACAATTATATGAAATACATATCTTTTCCTCCAAGATGTTTCATGTTAAAAGCTATGAGATTAAGATTAATTGCAGATTATCATATAGTCAATATTTAATTGTGGA